AAGATTACAGATATCTGGATCCAACTGATAATCTTAATATTAACTGATACAGATCTAGTTTTTTCAAAATCATCATCTTTGGAATTTGAACTCTAGACCTGCCATCTGGGGGTGCAACAACTCCACCACTTCACTAAGTTGCCACACCCTCTTAGAGTTTATTTATTTTTTAAAGTTATATTAGATATTTATTTAAAACTCTATCAAATTCATTGTTGATCTCTTTTAATGGCTTTAAAGATTGTCAAAAACATAACCAAAATGTTGACACAAAGTAGGAATAACTTGTTCAACAATAATAATTTTTTTTCTTTAGCATATTCATTAGTTAGAGAAGTCATTTTTTTATCTTCAAGTCTACAAGGAATAATATGATCAAACCAGCTAAGTGTGAATACCTAATTATTAAAAAAATTTTTTTTTTATGAGTAACTACAGGAAAAGTGAAAATAAATTTAAAAAAGTCTTATCAATTGCACAAATTTTATCAATACCATCATCGTACAAAAAGCTTGACAAAGAAGAAATATTTAGAAAGTTAGACGCATTAAAGTACATAGAATAATAATGTATTGTAAGTGAAAATGGGACTAAGTTATTTAGGTTAGAGTTAGGGTGAGAATTAGATTTTAGTTGTAGTTATTATGTTCAAATCTAAGTGGATTTCAAATCAATTTTAATTCCATTATCACTTACAACATATTTATAAACGTACCTTAAAATTTGATAAATTTAAAATCGGATAACCAAATAATTGACCAGGCCCATGGAATGTTGTTTGACCACCGTGTAAGCTCTATACCTTAAATTAAGTAGTAAACCAATTAAACCAAAAATAGAGAAATTAAAAACAAACTTACTTCAAAGTATTGAGCACCCAGTTTTCTTAAATATGCCTCTTCATCCGTAGTTTTTCCAATATTTCTTCTTTCAGTTGTATAGGTTGGAGGATGTTGCAATAATAAAAGCAAATCCGAAGAATTTTTATATTCAAATCGATGTCAAACCAAGAGTTTTTGAAGATTAAGTGCTTTCTCATAAGAAATTTGAAAAAGATATACGTAAGGAAGAATGGATGTAGGAATATCTGTGAGAGTGTTGCGAAACGTCAAAAAAAAATAATGACATACCGATTTTCATACAAAAAATACTAATGTCACGGGCAAAGAAGGATTGTCAAATTGGCGCAGTAATCTCGTGACTAAACCGGATATAATATTGGAATTCTGGATCAATGGTTATATGAGGCTTACCTGCCAAAGAATAGAAAGGATAACCTACGTGAAATCCGAAGAAGAATTCTGAAAAGAACAAACAAAGATCAAGCAAGCAGATCTTGAAGATAGACAAAGAGAAGACTTCGGTGGAAGGAATTATTATTATAATTGTTATAAGCCCCTTGATGTATAATAGCTTTGCCCTGATTCTTTAATGATGTATTATATAAATCTTCCCTAAGCCCCTTGAGTTCATTAGAATAGAATAAGCTATAAAAGCACCAAGAGTTCTCATTAGTTAGAAGATCCTTCGGGATTTCAACAATTCATTTCTAGTACCTTAAATAACTTACTCTGATAATCTCTTTCAATAAAACAAATTATTGTCAAATCACCAACGTTATGCCTCTGGCGAGTTGCCTTATCACCTAAATTATATCTTTTTGTATATAAATTAATAAAACACTACGATTCACCCCATAACATTTGGTAGTAACTGTGAGATTCGTGAACTTCCAAAACCATCTAACTTATAAACTCTAAAATTTAAAATGAATAACAACCAAATTAAACAGTTCATGAAAGTCATAACTAAAGTGGTTAATAAAGAAGAAAATAAAACACCAAAAGAAAATAATCTTGTAAAGATTAAGTCCTTTTATGATACCGACAACAAAGATCCTTTCGAATGGTTCGATGAATTCGAAAGAGTATCTATAGCCAATAACTGAACTGAAGATTGAAGGATGCAAATTGCATCAGGTTATTTGAAAGAAATGGCTGCTGTTTGGTATAAAGAAAATCAAGAAAACATTAAACATTGGAAAACAAAGAATAAACATAAAGAAAACAAAAGTTTTTACCATTTGTTTATAAAGGAATTCACCTCTAAGGAATGTCAACATCGATGGCAAATCGAGTTGTATAGGTTGTGTCAAAAGGAATCCGAAAAATTGGATATCTATGCAACTAAGTTCAAAAAATTGCTGAGTAGAGTCAATATTAGCAATAAATTTTCTGATGCATATATAGTAAGGATGTTTCTAAATAGATTAAAGAGAAATAATGCCACTTTTGTAGCCGTAGCTGCCCTTAAAGATTTAGCTGACATGATAGCTGCAGCAAAAAGAGTTGAAAATAGGAGTTATAATAATTCACAACTATACAAATAAGAAGAGGTGCAACAACAAAAAGGGAATGAGTTGAGCAACATAAAGAAACATATTGAAAGCCTAGTGTTAAACTATGCTACTTTGATAGCACAAATAAAGGAAACAGTAAACAAAAAAATTTTTATAGGGAATATTTACAGAATAATCAAACAGAAAAGAAGGGTAGAACGAAATATTATAATTGTGGCGAAATAGGTTATGTAGCAAGGCAATGTATATTAGAAAAAATAAATCACCCTTATAAATTTAAAGAGAGAGAAAACAAAACTTTCAAACAAGAAAGAAATATTAGTTTTTGTAAGTTGAAAACTGATAATAATCAGGAAATATATCATAATGAACTTAACTCTCATAAGACTACAAAATGTTTAGCAAATCCAAATTGGAAAGAAAGATTGCACAAGATGGTTAGGGTTCAACCAGAACAACTAAAAGAAAAAAAGATAGAAATTGGAAACCCATATTTTGACAATAAAATCAAAAGGAAGCATATACCTTCCAAAATTGATTCTTTAACACCCTATAATGTCATGGATGATATCTTGTCCCTATCCACTAGTGCCACTGTAGGACAAATTCTACAATACCTGAATTAAAGAAGAAATTTAGCTAAGATATTGAAAAGACTATCAATAGCAAAAGAAGCTAATTTTATAAAAGAATATTAGTGCACAACTGCTACAAGATATTATATTAAGATTAAAAATAATCCAGTATTAGCGGTACTGGATTTAGACGCTGCAGTTAGCATAGTATCAAACCAATTATTAGACAAACTTGGATTAAAAATAAACAATAAGTCTATTATAGTAGTAGTAATAGCTACAGGAGCAAAGGCCAAAACACTTGGTAAAATTAAAAATGTAAGAATAGTAATTAATAATATAGTAATCCCTACTATCTTATATGTAATAGAATTGTCCGATGATATATTCTTATTAGAAACAGATTGGTTTCAAAAAACTAAAACTTAGATCCATTTTGACAAACAAAAATTATACTTACACTATGCTGATAAATCAATAAAAATACCAATTTTTAATACTGATACTAAAGACCTTAAACTTCATGAAGATGAAGAAGTTTATAGTGACAGCAGAGATTCATTTGACGAATTCGATTACGAAGAAGAAGAATTCGAAGAACTAGAAAGTTGACTCGTAAATAAAGAAAACCCTGCAATATACCTTACTAATATTGAAGAGGCACCTACAAATAAAGATAAAGAAGATAAAGACAAAGAAAATTCTGTGAGGGAATTAATAAAAGAAATGGTAGATAATAAAGAAATGACAATACAAAAACAAAACAAGGCAAAAGAATTTTTACTTACAGAAGAGAGCCTGTTTGCCCAAAGTATTGAAAATTTAGAATGAACGAATACTATTACTCATAATATTAATACAGGTGATGCTGTTCTGATTAAACAAAGATATTACCAAGCCACCTATAAAGAAAACAAGTTTATAAGAAAGAAAATAAATAAATTAAAGAAACAAGGACTAATTATTGAAATAAATAGTTCCTAGACCTCTCCGGTAGTAATAGTATCAAAAAAACAGTAAACTATGTTTTTGTGTAGATTACCAAAAACTAAATTCCATTACCAAAAAGGATACTTATCTGCTTCCTCATATCAATGATCTCCTGGATACTTTTAGAAAAGCAAAATAGGTTTCCACTTTAGAACTAATAAGTGGATATTGGCAAGTTGGAGTGAGTGAAGAAGACATAGAAAAAATGATATTCATTACAAAATATAGTACTTACACCTTTAAAGTAATGCTGTTTGGTCTTTGTAATACTCCGAGGACATTTCAATAATTGATAGACAAAGTACTAGAAGAGTGCATTAGAATTTTTGCTGTTGTCTACTTGGATAATATTAATATTTATTTAAGTTCTTTTAAAAAATATTTAAGTTATTTAAAGATGTCTTTAATAAATTAAGAAAAGCAAAACTAAAACTAAACCCAGAGAAGTGTACCTTTTTTAAGTCTGAGATATATTATCTGAAGCATATAATAAATAATGAAGGAGTGAGACCTGATGAATCTAAAGTAAATAAAGTAAAGAATTTTCCTATACCTAATAATCTTTACCAACTTTGAGAATTTATTGGATTAGCATTATATTATCATCACTTTATTAAAGGATTTACTATGATAGCCTGACCTTTACATAATCTATTAGAAAAAGATATTTCTTATAAGTGAGATGAAGATCAACAAGTGGCATTTGAAACTTTAAAAAGATACCTTATGATGGTGCTTATATTAAGATATCCAGACTTCAAAGAAATATTTTATTTACATACCGATGCTTCCGGTATAGGATTAGGAGCTGTCCTAGCTTAAAAAGATAAGAACCACAAGGAATATGTAGTAGCCTATACCAGCTAAGAACTTTCAAAAATAGAAAGAAATTATTTGACTCCAGAAGTTGAATGTTTAGCCATTGTATGGGCTGTAGAACACTTCCACTATTATTTAGGCACCAAGTATTTCACATTAATAACAGATTATGCTGCTCTTAAATGGTTACATACCTCAGAACTGAAAGGAAAAAGAGCCTGTTGGATCTTAAAGTTACAACCTTACGACTATTCTATTATATATCAGGCTGGAAGAAAACATTCCAATATTGATGCTTTATCAAGAATATACCTACGAAAAGAAAAGAATTAAAGATAAAGAATTAAGAAAAGAAATTTTATTTTAAAAGAAATTAATTGATTATCCAAAGATTTGCAAACAAAATTTGACATTAAGAATAATCTAGTCCAGGTAGTCAGTGTCCTGGCAAAAATATGAAAATGGAATTACTTCGTTATCAATTATTGAAGACATATCTTCAAGAACATACATTACCCAAATTATTAACTCCTCAAAAATGGTGAAGTATTCAATCTCAAAGTAAATTCTTCATAGTAAAGAATAGCCAAATCTACAAGAAAGACAAACACCAAGTTAATTATCTATTAAGAGTTATTCAAAATTATGAGGTTGAACCAATCCTATTCTTAGTATATACTTATTATTAGGAAGACACTTTGGTATAGAGATCATGTTCAACAAGATTCGTAATAAATATTATTAGCCACAGATGTATACAAATATTCAAAGATTCATCTGTACCTGTGACACTTGTCAAAGAAGAGGCAAAACTTTGGCAAG